CTCTTTTTGGAGGCAGCTGTGCTTTTTATTGCTCCCCATTTGTTTTTTTTCTGCTGGACTCCGAAATTTTGGGCTAATATTTTATGGCAATTGATGGGAAGTGGCTGCGACGACGCACTTTTCCTTGCGGTCAGCTAAGAGGTGGCAGCAGTTGGGCGCGTGGGCGTGGACATGGGCATGGGCTTGGGCATGGGCATAGGAATTGGTGTGGTTGGTTCGCTTGCGCAAAGTTGAAATAAACAATAACAAATTGCGCTTGATTTGCTTTATGATGTTTATATTAAGCCCAGAGCCGTTCTCTCCCTACCTTCCTCCCCCCCCCTCTCTCTCTATCTCTCTTTCTCCCTCCCTCCCGCGCACTGTCTGCGAGTGAATAACTGAATATGCAAGTGTGAGTGGGCCAACAGTGCGCACCACTGTGAAACTTAGGTTAATTAATTTTTGGAAGCCCAAGCAAAATAAATAAAAGTCGAAAACAAATTTTGGAGCGAAAAGAAAAAAGAAATAAAGAAAATTGAAGTCTAGAAAATTGTCGAAAATTTCGAACAGGCCCCGGACAAAATCTTCGTAGTCCTATTAACGGCTGTCAAATTGGTACAAACATCAACAAGAATCCATTATGCGTAAGCAGGTGCATAAATAGTTTTCGCTAATGGAGCCCAGCGAATGGCGAAGCCCAAGCGATTCCAAACTCAGGCTATAAATGTATTTATTTATTTTTAGATCTAGTTTTTCTTTTGCTTCATTTGTTTATATTACTCGAATGTATTTTATGGATCTATGAATCAGCTGAGGCAATTGCAAAATTGTAAGTTATAAATCTATATTGGCCATGAGCTAAGCATTTACTCTTGTTTTATAGCCAAAAACTGAAAATCTGATTTATATTTTTGGCATACTTTAAGAATTATTGTGGGAGATATCTAAGAGAGCAATAAAAAGCGTAACATTGTGGTAAACATGATTCTTTTAGATACTTAAGCAGTCTTTTTCATCATGCATTGCCACAAATGAGCAAAATTCAAGAGGAAAGTAAGCAGCATAGCTAACCCCATAACTCTAAGAGTTTCCGAATTAATTTATACTAAACTAATTTAAGCGCTTCAAAGTAATCTGCATCAGATATTTTTACAATTCTCAAAGCAATCGATCCGGTGACCCTATTCAGCTGCTCCTTTGATGCCCTCTGAAAAGGCCAAGCACCATCATCGTCATCCTCAGTTTCAGTTACAAGTAAAAGTTGCAGTGGTACAGATCCATGTTGCCCCAGATTCTTTGCTCCATTTCACAGCGCAAGAACTGTCAAAAGCCCCTAAATTTCACGACAGAAATGAGCGGTATGAGTTCGAGCCACAAAAACAGGGGAAAATCAAAATTCTTACTCAGCATCATACCGATATAGATCTAGATATATGTGTATATAAATTTATGTATGTATATAAACCTAAATAGTGTAGCTTGCATTTGGAGTTTAAATGGCAAGGGCGGGAGTCTCGCTCTCCTGAGCTCCCTCGCTGAGTAAATGTATAATAAAGTGAATGTTAAATTGAAATCAATTTGCTCCACTAAAGGCATTCTTTTTTGTTTTTCAATATATTTTCAAAATATATATTTAAATGTCTCGATAGACAAATTCAAAGCAGACCAAAATGAACTAAACTTTTATTTTCAAATCCTAGCAAATCGCAAATATTATATATTGATTCCAATCAAATCTGTCTAATGCTTAGTTTTTTTTTTTATTTTTCTGCTGCTCTCATGATATTTGCCACGACTTTTTTAATATATCTGCAAAGATTGTGTAGATATTAAAGAAAAATTTAATTTGCTTTTCAAAAACTTGCTCAAAGTTAAATTTGTTGGCAACGGCGCTTGATGAATGTGTTAAACCTTGAGGCAGTTGGTTGGCTTCGATTAGCATTGGCCATGATTCAGATGCTGTCCTAATTAAGAGACAATTTTTCAAAAAGACCCTTTCACAGAGCAGAGCGAAAGCAACTTTTGTTGTTGTTGTTCTTGTTGCTTTTGCATTGACTGGCACAGAAATGTTTCATCATTGAAATTTTTGTTTTTGCTTTTTTTTTTTTTGTTTTTGGTGCAGTAGAAGCAGCTGCTGCCAGCGAGTGACAACTGCAACTCTTTGTTAGCTCTGCAAAATTGTGATTCAATGCGGCTATTTGGGTCGTCCTGTGCTGCAATGAGTCAACGGGATGTGCTGCTGGTAACTGAGATGCCAATGAATGAATCAGTCCAGCTCCATGGCCATGGCCATGTCCATGTCCATGCAGCAGCTAAATAAGAATGAAGCAGCAACTCGATAGCGCAGTGAATAGGAATTGCAGTCACTGAGCACTTTCCTCCAATGAGTGTGATAATGATTGTGTATGCATGTGGCTTGTTTTAATGAAAATTCATAATCTTTTGCTTGGTCAGTGCATAAAAAAAGCACAGAAAAAAGTGAAAGAAAAGCGCAACTCGTGCCATATGGAAAATGCCAGGCGAGGCCAGTCCAGGCCACAAATATGAATATGCTATATGCATATATATATATATATATATATATATATATACATATATATATATATATTTGTGTGTGTGTGCATATGGTTATGCAGGATGCGTGGGCCTGAGGTTGGGGCTTATGGGATAGCGCAGCAAGCGTAGTTCATATCCATGTGGAACAGGATGCGTAATGAACTCGTTGTTGCAATTTTTTGCTTGTGCCTGGGATACTTTTTGAGCAGGACGCCAGCAGTCGAGCTGCGGAGTGTTCAGATACCACACGCACGCACGCACACACTGTCATATTGTTGTCATATTGTTGCTGCCACGCCCCCATACACCCAGCGGGCCAACAATGGACACAAGCGCCAAATGGTTAAAGTGCTTGTGTTGTTGCTGTTGCCGTTGCCATTGATGTGGCTGTGGCTGTTGCTGTTATAGCAAGTTATTATTGTCTGCTGTTGCTGTTGTCATTGTCATTGTTGTTTTTGCTGTTGCTGTTGCTGCTGCTGTTGTTGTTATCTTCCGGATGTGTCGCTCTGTGCATATAAATCGCATTTAATTTATTGTAAATCGGATTAAATTACCAAATGTTGCACGCACGCTGCACACTCAGCTCTTTAGCTGAACCCCCTGCCCCTCCGCCCTCCGCCCCATTCGCGACCTATGCCACAGTCTCAGCTTTCCCCCGCGTCCCTCTCACTTAATGCCACAAACACGCTAGTCCACCGAAGAGCCATTGCACTTAAAGTGTGGCCAAAAGCGGCTTATTAACCAACCAGCCAAGCTGGGCCAACTCCGACTCAAATAGCCAAATGGACGCAAATGAGGCACAAGCCGTTGCCTCAGCTGGCCACACAGCTCATTTCGAGCTGACAGAGCTCATGCCCGATAAATGGCTAGAAACATTTAATGCAATTTGGCCAAGAAAAACAAAACTCGAATTTGTTCTAAAACAAACTTAATTCGTCTATGTCATATAGAGAAGTGAAAGTGAACAGAATTGACGATAGAGGAGAGAAAAGCAGAGGGCAGCACAGAGAATAATAACAGAGAGAGAGCGGGAAAGAGAGAGAAAGTGGTGGAGAGAGAGAGAAAAATATATAGAGAGACGAGAGGTATAAAGAGAGAGATAAAGAGAGAAGCAAGGCCATGTAATGGCAGATCTCTTTTTTAGTCTAGCATGAGATCATCGATATATTCACACAAAAAAATATCTATGAGCATCAGCTATATCTCAGAGTTGATCTCAAGAGACTTGAAAAAGCTGGCAGAGGCTTAAAGTGACTTTGCGGGACTTGAAGAAGGAATCTCTTTTCATGTTTAACACTCACTTTGTTAGCCAAATGTAGTTTGTATAGAAGTCAAAGGATTTCTGCTGCCTGAGATATATATATGAAGAAGATAAAGTGTCTTGAAGAGAGAAAAATCCATTTCGTATATACACAAAGTCTCTTTATTCAGTCAGATTTAGTGTTCAGCAAACTGAACTCAAATTTCGAGGCATTAAAAGCGTTTGAAGAGCGTAAAATTGAGATGGTCATTGAACATGCAAATATAGAAAACACATGCAAAATAAATTAGTTAAATCTCTCTATATATTATAGATGCAATTTCACTAATATAATTTGCAGTTTCGATAAAGACCTTTCACAAAAAACACTGTCAACTACATAAGAACTTAGCAAATGCCAATTAATTTAAGAGCTCTTCTAACCACGCACTTGCTTAGCTATTACAAAGGATTCTTTTTGATAGCTGTAACTATTTATTGAACTTATTGAACTAGTTGAAGCCGCGCACAGATGGAAGCAGAGCGAAAAATAAATATGAAATCCACTCACAGCTTTGCCATCAACTATGCAAAACTAATGTGAAAAAACTACTGACAGCTATTTGTATATCGTTACGGCGATAAACAGATATATATATATATTCATGTATATATATATATATATATATATATGAATTTGTACACATTGTGCGGCAATATGAAAGGCAACCGCTGCGTCGGCATATTCACACTTTTGCTTGCAATTAACCGTGTGCCGGCATTTAACTGAAACTTTACAGTGCCTGTTATCTGTTAATGCACATTTCCACGGCTCATAAATGTACTGACGGGGTGGCAGGAGTGTAGCCATCGTCACACGCTGCTTGACCGACAAAAAAATAAAACTTGAAAGCAACTTCATGTTAAATTCAAGTAGCCTCCGTGGCCATAACGCCATATTGCCCATGCCGCGAGTGTGTGTGTGTGTGTGTGTATGTGTGTGTGTGCCGATTGCAGATTGCATTTGCGATTGGCAACAAGACGAAAAAATGGCTTTGAAGTGCGGCCAGCACAATTAAGCTCTCAACGCACAGCAGCTGCCACGGCAAACTGCCACAACAATTGCATTTGTATCTGCAAAATGTATCTGTATCTGTAGCTGTAGCTGTAGCTGTAGCTGTATCTGTATCTGCCTTTCAACTAATTCCTTTTCTTCTCGTTGCAGCCTGCGATTGCCATCTGATCGGCTCATCTGGCAAGATCTGCAACAGCACAAGCGGTCAATGTCCGTGCAAGGACGGAGTCACGGGTCTGACCTGCAATCGCTGCGCCCCCGGCTATCAGCTAAGTCGCTCCCACATCGCACCATGCATCAGTGAGTAATCGCCCGACATACCAGTATTACCAGATGCACTTTACCTGACACATATAAATAATCAACTCTTAATACAGAATCGCATATGCTTAATGCAGTGCCGTATAGGAAAGCTTTTAGTCTAGGTATATCGATACTTATCGATTTTGTTGAATGACTGTGTAAGGCGATTATTTGTTATGAACTTGAAGGTAGACGGATGGACAAAAGAATGAACAACATTCCGAAAAGTGAGGGCCAAGGCAGGCGATCAGTCGGAGATAATAAGGCGTAGAAAGAACATAAAGATAAATATTAGTATAGCTGCCAGAATACCTTTAGCTATATGAAGATGGGATACTGGGTGTAGAAAGAAGACAACAACTGAACGTACTCAGACTCCATGAAACATGAGCTTGAATGGGTCTAGCCGTGTAAGGAGAAGGCGGGAATATTTGTAAATAGAATCTAATCAATTGATATTGAATCTCGTTTGCAGAGCAACCCCCGCGCATGATCAATATGCTGGATACGCAGAACACGGCGCCGGAACCAAACGAGTCCACTGAAGGCGTTGGCATGGACAGAGGCGCCAGCCCAGCGGCCGCCCAATCGCAATTTTATCGCACCGAGGGCGGCAGGGGTAAGTAAGTGCTCTCTCTCTATCTTCCTCTCTCTCTCGCTCTTCCTCACACTCTCACTCTATGCTGCTATCTAGCCGTATCAGCATTGTGTGTGTGCCAACAATTGTTGTTGCCGTTGTTGTTGTTGGGTGTTAGTGCTGTTGCTGATGCTGCGGTCGCTTCTACTAACTATCCCAGACGGCAAACTTTTGCCGCGTCGCTTCTCTCGCTTTGTAATCCTTTCAAATGGGTGAGAAAACACAAATCCGCTAAAGTGCAGTCGGTTGTCGGTTAAGCGAGCCTCCAATGAAGACTGAGGCGGAGCTGTTGGCTGCTTGAAAAACTGTTTTGGGTTGGAGGCGTGGCCGGCCGCGTGGGCGTGCAGCACTTAACAGATAGTGCAAATGTTTGCATGCAACTTTTAGTTACATTTTTGCTACACACTTTGTAGCTGTGTGTGTGTGTGTGTGTGTGTGTGTGTGAACGGGGGATGTGCACGCTGCTGCAACAAGCAAACAGAATGCGCAACAACAGCATAAATCATGCTAAAGCCGACTGGCAACAACGCCCCGGACGTCCCTACGCACCTCCCTGACTCTGCAGGCCCTGCCCCGCAGGCGACCCGCATCATTTGGCGCGTGGCCGAAGTAAAAGCAAAGCAAACTTTTTCACAAAGTGCCAAAGCGCTTGCAGCCCGAGCAGCAAATGGAAGACGGCCGCCCACACTGAGCAAATGTATTAAAAAGTTTCCTTATTTAATTTGTTCGGCGTCCAGCAACAATGGTCGCACACTTTTAAGCGGCACTGTGCACAGTCGTCGCTGCCTGCTGCCTGCTGCCAGTTGCCTGGTGCCTGTTGCTGCAGCCGCTAATTGCTGTCAACTATTTGCATAGCGCATTTGGTAACAGGCAACAGGCCAAATGACAAATTGAAAGGAAATTGACAGAAGTCCTTTGGCTGAGAACTGTTTACGCTCTCCCCTGAGCCCAACTCCCTGGCGAGCGGCTAAGTACAGAGAGGTTTGCTTACAGTTTAGCGGAAAGTGTGAAAATTGAAATGATCAAATAGCTGAAGTCGCTGGAAAGAGCATATTACAAATAGAGCGGAAGAAGCCTTGAAGTCTACATTCAGACCTGGCAGATGTTGTTATATCTGTGTGTTCCTTGAAAGAGTACATTATGTTTGTAGAGAGAAAATCTAGACTATGCAGACATGACGAATTGTCGCTTGGATCTTGCTATCCGACTTTCCGGCTGTTTCTCCTTCAGTACGTTCGTCCTTCAGTCTGTTCGTCTAACACTCCGTCTTTTTATTCCTTAGTTTGGCCTTCTGTCCGTTCGGTCAGTCAGACCATCCGTTCGTCCTTCAGTCTTTGCATTTTTCAGCTCGGCTATCAGTCCGTGGGTACATCAGTCGGACATTCCGTTTGTCCCTAGGCTCGTCCCTAGGTTCGTCTGCCCGCCCGCATGTCCGCCCGCACGTCCACCAGTTTCCCCGTCCTTCCATCCGACCTTCTAACCATCTATCTTTGGATACGCCCACAAAAATCGTGTTAATGTCGCTCCCAGCCAAATGTTCTTCAGTAAGTATTGCCTAACTCTTTAGTTGACAGACACCGAGGCTGACAGACCAGAGTAGAAAAAAGTATCAAAATGGCAATATCTAAATGGATCGCTCTGTATTGAAAGTACCGTCGGTTTATTACTCCAGTCGAGCATCGCAGCACTCAATAGCTGCAAATTGGGCCACAGAAAATATAGAGAAACTGTAACAAGTTCTTAGCGGAGCTAAAGACGAATGCACATTGGGCGACCATTCAGAAGAGAGCATCCATCATCAAATTCAAATGGGGCTTCAGTCAAAGTGGCTGCCAAGCCACCTATCCACACACCTACCCACTTAGAAGACGGCATTCAGTTAAATTTATTTGTCAATGGCAAAGAAAAGCGCAAAGTTGAGATGGAGAAACCCGAGTTGAAGTTGAAGTTGATGTTGGAAGTTGGAAGTTTGGAAGTTTGCACGCTTGTAACCAAGAAGCGCACTAGAAAGATGGACAAAACTCTAACACACACATAGACACACACACACACACACACACACACACATTGCTGAAAAGTTAGTCCTTGCATAGTGCTCGCTGCGGGGCAACGACTGCAAAAGGGGGAGGCAAGGGCAAGGGCAGGGAGGCGTCGGCTATGGGCGTGGGCGAGACAGCTCGACATGAATATTAATTATGAATTTATAATTTGATAATCTTATTAAATTAATTTGAAATTCTGCCGGGTCTGAGTTAATTTAAAGTTAGTGCCAGGCTGCCGAGGCCCGCCCCCTTCCCAAAAAACATCTAACACACCCACTCTGGCCGCTCCAGTGCCTTTGCTGCCCCTCCTGCCAGCAGATCCCATCGACCCGATTTGATTTTGCATGTGAAACTTAATGACATGTTAATGCGATGCACAATTAAATGATTAACGAGTCGACTCGACTTGCCACTTGCTCTGGTTGGGGGCGTGGCCAGTGCTCTTTAGCGCCCGAGGCCGCAAATAGACGCGATAAATATCGCTGGGCCACTTAGAACAGGAAATGCGGCGCCCGCCCAAACTCTAATTGTTCAGATATCGAAATTGGAGGCGCGAGCCATTGAAATGTTGGCGCACCCAGCCAAATTTAGATGTTAGACTGCCCCCACTAGGTGCTCCCTCCTTATCGATCAATCGTTCGATCGATCGATCGATGGATGGATCGATCGATGGCTCGCTCATATAGTACAAAGTTTATGCGTCACGATTTGCTGGCAACGTCGCTGACATTGGCAGCTGCAGCTGAAATAACAAGTGAACGACGGGTGAATACCCTGGACTCAGTCAGCTCAAATTTGAGTGTGGCTTGACAGAAGGCTGTCGAAAGCTTTGATACCCGCTGCCCTCTTTTCTCTCGCTCACTCTCAATATACACATTTAGTTATCTGTGATCTATCTATCTATATTGTTATCTATCTCTCTGAATTGTCAACCCTACTCTCTCATTCTCTCTCTATCTTTCTTCATATATATATCTTTCTCTGTCTGTCTGTCTTTCTGTATATATCGCTGTCTCTCTCTCTTTATCCGGTTCTCTGCGTGTCTTTTTCTTGTCTGCCTGTCGTTCTCGTTCTCTCTCTCAGCCTGCCCTCATCAAGTCATTATAGATACATAAGTCGTCTCTAGCTCTCACCCAGCCGCTCTGGCTCTCATATATAGGGTACTACAACAATCGCAGCAACAGCAACAGACGATTTCGCCTAAAAACAACAAACGAAGCAATTTGCATTGCAGCAATCAAAACACACGACGCTAATTTTAGTGCACAAAAGGCGGCATTGACGACCTTAGACTGCCAGCTCCCCCTCCGCCACTTGGAGGCGTATGGGGCGTGCCAGCTTTAATGCCATACCGATCGCGCCTTAATGCAGTTATTGCTGTCGTAGCAGCAGCCATGCCTGCTTTTGTTACAGTTGCTGAATCGGATTTCGAATCGGATTTGAATTCTGTTTCTGTCTCTGTTGGGGGACGCGCTAATTGGCATTGGCCATAAAGACATCAATTTTGCAGTTAAATTGTAAACTGAAGACGCAAAGGGAATTGTTGATCTGGGCATCTGTGCAATTTGCTTAATAACTCTACGTTTTCTTCTCCTCTCCTCTGTTCACAGTGTGCGAAAAGTGCAAAGTCATCACCAAAAGATTAAACCTCAACAAATTCTGCAAAAGAGACTACGGTAGGTCCATATATAGGATATATTCCTAATGGTATATATAACTACAATCTCGATCGCTCCCTTTTAGCAATAATGGCCAAAGTAATTGGTCGCGATACGAGCAGCGAGGCGGCCAGTATCGAGCGCAGACGCGCAATGGATCCGTACGGGGACTACGAAATGGATCAACAGCCAATGGGCGGACCGGAGTACGAGTATCGGGGGGCGGCAGCAGCAGCATTGGCTGGCATCAGCAGCAGCGCCAGCGTTCCGGACTATCCAAACGACAGCGACACGGCTCGGTTCGATCTGCAAATTCAGGCGGTATTCAAGCGCAGCAGAACCAGCGCCTATGGAATGCCGAATACAATGCTGAAACGAGGTCCTATGACCTGGATCATACCGATTAAGAATTTGGAGTGCCACTGTCCCAGGATCAAAGTCAACAGGTGAGCACGTGATAGTCTAACTGCTTAACTGAGTCTATTAAGCTGTAAATGTGAATAACATGCATATGAGAATCGCATAATATATTGAATGACCAACATTGTTTATCTTGCAGATCGTATTTGATTTTGGGGCGGGACTCGGAGGCGCCGCCCGGATATCTGGGCATTGGTCCGCGTTCGATAGTTATAGAATGGAAGCACGATTGGTATCGACGAATGAAGCGCTTCCAGAGGCGGGCGCGCACCTGTGCGTAGATGAGATGACCCACCGTCCCCACATTGCAGTGGCCATCTTTGTCACATTAAATAATTTGTCTGTCACTTGTCAATTTCATTTACCTACCTTCAAGCTATATGTATTTTTTTTTACTAAACATATGTGTAGATCGTAGAGCTTAAATTTAAGAACTTCAAATCAAATCAAATCAAATCAAAGCGTCGCAACTCAAGAGAATTATTTTTTTTTTGCTGATTTATCAGATTGAATTAATGAAAAAAGCTTTGGCAGTTACGCGCCAAACTATTTAAAATATGAAACGTGAGCAGCGTTGCCACCCTCGCAGCATTGCCATTGCGTGCAATATTTTTCGGCTTAGCAATGTGTGTAATACTATCGCCATAGAGAAGAGCAGCTCAAATATATTGGCAAGATATATATATATATACACATATATCATTAAATTTTGGTTTTTATTTTTAATGCAATATTTTAATTTTACTAACAGCTGCATTTGATTTGTTTAGCATTTTAAGGCCTACATAGCTGTATTTAATTTATTTAATTAACTTTAATTGTTATTTGACTATCAAAGTATCTATCTATATACACATGCCTATATATGTGTGGAATCTTTATGATTTGTATTATTTTGTATGATAAGAGCGCAGCATAAAACATTCTCTCAGCTTTCTATACTTCACAACAATAAGAATTTATCAATTAACAACAAACGTGAGCAACAATAACTACAATAGACTACAAAGAAATTAACAAACGCATATTAGCACGCATAAGCATTAATATCTATAAGCAATGTACGCACGTATATCAAATCTTAAAAAATGTTTTAAAATAACGCATAAAATACAAATAAATAGATATTGTACAGTGCAACTCACATTTTATGTCTTTTTATTTTGTTGGACATAATTGAAACAGCCTTGGTATTCGCGCGCCAAACTATTTAAATATGAAATGGTCACAGCGTTGCCATCTGTTCAACAGAATTCGTGCAATACATATCGGTTCATCACTTCCACTTAAAAGCGCAATTTAAATATATATTACTTAAAATGTTTAACCATTTCTGTTTACTTTTATTTTTTTTTTATTTTGAAAGAAATTGGCTGCATCAGAATGAAATATTGTATGTGTAGTATATTATATTATAATAGCAAGCTGAATCAAACTATTGCTGAGCGTTTTGTCAACAAGCTGTGGCTACTGTGTTTGAATTTCACAACATATTTTGTATATGAAAAGAAGAATAAAAACAAAATATTAATAATTTATTTCATAATGGTCGTAACGTTACCTGCTTTTTATATCGAATGGAAACATCAATTATATTCAGCTAAATATAGAATATCGTGCTTAACCTAATGTTATATCGATAACAAGTTCTTGCAATACTAGAATCAAGCAAATAAACATCGGACGCGCCAAAAATTATTCGCAAAAAGTGTGCCCCAATTTGAGCGTCAGGATTCGCAAATCGTTTCAATTGGGATACAGGATACAATTAAAGTGAGGATGAGCACAAGCCTGGACGAATCAATATGCGCATATTTTGTCAACAACACAAAAAGCGAAACAGAGGCCGATTTGGCCATAGCTGGCCAATATGCCAACGCATTAAAGTTGATGCGCGAGCAGCTTGCGGACACGCAAATCCGTGAAATTCGAGCAAGCGAAGGATTTCCATTGATCGCCGGTGGTGGGCTTACGAAAAAAGATATATTCGTGCTAGCTCACTTCGAGGGAGATCTGTTCCAACAGCTGCAGCTGACCAAGGCCCTAGTTCTGGGCCCGCCCTGCATAGTGGAGTGCCTGCAGGAGAATGCGCCGGTTCCACTGGGCACTAGTCCCATATATGCTACGGCTATGCGTGACCTGCAGATCTCGGCCAGTGGTATCAGCAGCAAAGAAAAGGATGAAATTAAGAAACTAATCCACTGGATGGGCGGTCATTATTTCCAGAACTTCGGACGCAACATCACACATCTCATATCGAACACGATCAAGTCCAACAAGTACGAGCACGCCACGCTCAACGGTGTGCCTGTCATGCACACCGACTGGGTGCAGGACGTCTGGGCGAGTTGTTGCAGTGGCGGCCATAGCACCGTTAGCGCCACGGACACACAGTTCGACAAGTATCGCCTGCCCACGTTCTTTGGCGCCAATATCACGTGCAGTGGACTGGAGACGTCGCGCAAGGAGGCGGTGATGCGTCTGGTCAATGAGAACGGCGGCATCTACCATCGCGCCTTTCGCTCCCAGCAGGTGGACATTGTCATCACGGAACAGTCGAAGACCGACACAGAAAAATATAAGGCGGCATTACGTTTCAAGAAGGATATCCTGCTGCCCGAATGGGTATTCGATAGCCATGAGCGCGGCTACGCGCTGCCCACCAAACAGTATGAAGTGCGGGCTCGCAAACAGGTCTCTACGCCGACCAAGCACACCCATGGCAATCACACGGTGGCTGACAGTACCCAGCTCTCGGATTTGTCGCGCATCAGCTTTGTGAGTGCGCCGGGTCGCCGCATGTGCAGCGAAAACACGACGCTCAACGAGACGGCCAGCAGCAACTGCAGCGTCACCAGCGGCAAATCCACACGCAACGCCGGCGGCCTGCTTAAACAGGCCACTGGCAACAGCAATCATAAACAGCAGCTGTACCAGGAGACGCTGGAGGAGATTAGTCCGCGCAAGGCCAAGAAGGCGGGCAACTTTTTGGATGGCTGCTGCGTCTACCTGAGCGGCTTTCGCAATTTCGAGCGCGAGAAGCTGAATCGTGTGCTCAATACAGGCGGCGCCACGCGTTACGATGATCCGCATGAAGGCCTGACCCACATCGTTGTCGGCCAGCTGGAGGATGCTGCATATAGGCAATGGCAGACTGAGGGTTTGCTCGCCACGGTGCAGGTTGTGCGGCTCGAGTGGCTGTTGGAGAGCATTCGAGCTGGTCGCATTGTCAGCGAGCTACCGCATCATGTCTCCGTGCCACATGGCGGCGAGGCAACCGACGCCCCCTCGCCGGCTAGCAAGCGTACGTTGCGGTCCATGAATCACAGCTTCAAGCAGCCATCATTGCCCATCAAAAAGAAGCTCTTTGATGGGCCCACGGACGGTGATGCACATCCGGAGCCGGAGCCAGAACCGGAGCTACTAACACACTACTCTCAGGAGCAGGAGCCGGCCATGCCGTTGCCCGCCGCCAGCTCCACGCAGCTCTCGGTGACAGCATTGACAGCTGCACCCAGTGCTTCATGTGCCGTTCCATTGGCCGTCGCCCTGCCCGATCTGAGCGCCAGCACGCTCTCCATAGACTTCGACAAGCTCGACTACTTTAAGGGCGCCTCGGTGTACGTGCACGAGCCATGCTTCAGCAGCGAGCTGTACGATCAGATGCTCAGCGAATGCAAAGCCGCCCAGGGCTGTCTGGTGCCGGCGAGCTACACGGATCAGGTGGACTATGCCATTGTCAGCTTTGAGCAGGCGCTGGATGAGTCTGTGCTGCCAGTGCAGGCGCGTTATGTGGTCACCGAGCTGTACCTGGAGAGCTGCATGAAGCAGAACAGTTTGCTGCCACTGGAGTACTATCATCGGCCAGTGCCGCACAATGCACGGCTGGAGCCACTGCGTGGCATGACCATTGTGGTGTCCATCTATGCGGGCCTGGAGCGGGACTTTATTAATGCGCTGGCAGAGCTGCTCGGCGCCGCGCTGAACAAGGCATTTGTCAAGAAGGAACGCCCGCTGCTGATCTGCTCCGCGGCAGAGGGCTCCAAGTACGAGGGTGCACTCAAATGGGGCTATCCGGTGGTGCAAGCCGATTGGCTGGTGCAGTGCGCCCAGCGTGGCGAGAAGCTGCCGTATGCTCGCTTCCTGGTGGGCAAAAGCGCCAGTGACTTTCCTGGTTCGCCTGGTCTCAAGGACAGCAACAAAACGCTAACACCCAAGGCTAAAACGCCAGTCACGCCTCAGGAGAAGACAGCAACAAAGGAGCAGCAATCGACGCTGATGGAAGAGGATAAGGAGCAGCAGCCAGTGCAGCCGGATCTAACGCCACTGCGTAATCCGCGCGTCTCCGAACTGGTCACGGGCTTGCCCAGCACGCGACGACGCAGCTCGAGCGGCACCACGACGCCCGAGTCGCCGCATACGCCGCTCAATCAAAAAACCATCGCAGGCGGTGCGTGCAACTTTGATTTCTTGGAGCAGGTGGTGCAGCGACTAGACACCAGTCAGGCACGCGACTGTGTGCGTCAGATAATCCGTGAAATGCGCGAGAACCAGACGCCCGAGCTGGAACGGATCAGGCGGCAGGCCTGCACGCCCGTCAATCGGCGCCAGACATCACGACCCGCACCCGGCATACCCAACTTCTGCCTGACGCCTGAGTTCCAGCAACGCATGGCCGACGACTTCGAGCGTCGCTGGCGTCTGCCCAAGCACCAGATCAAGCCGGACACGCCCCTAGCGGTGATCAGGCAACGTGTGATGCGTATCACATGCGAGACACTGGGCATTGACTACACCGACGCCGAGAGTGAATGTGTGCAAGTGGCAGAGCCGCACCCTCAGAGGATGGTGGAGCACCCGGTGAGTCGCCTACTGTTTCAGGCAGGAGCAGCTGCAGATGCAGCGCCTGCCTCACCATTCGTGCCCAGCACACAGAGTCCCGGTGCCCCAGGTGCAGTTGATGAGCTGCCCAGCGGCAGCACTATAAACTTTGATAAGATTAGCTTCGAAGAGACGGCAGCGGACAATTCTCTGGAGGTCAAGCAGATCACCGACTACCTGAAAAGCCGCGAGCTGCGCCGCAGCAGCCTGAAGCGCGACCACGAGGGCCAGACCATAAGCGAGGTGCAATATGTGCAGCCCTTCGAGTCGGAGGGTTTCGCCCTGACCGAGGATATGGTGGGCTGGCGTGATCCAGCAGAGTTCAATCGGGGCAAGCGGAGCAGCAATGGCGAGTCGTCGCGCATGCTGTACCAGGGCACGCCGTGCTTCAGCATCTCGTGCGGCGATGATGAAGACAAGCGGCTGCTTCTAATGGAACGCATTCGCTTGCTGGGCGGTCAGATCTGTCAGAATCTGTCCAACTATGATCCCGCCTGCACGCATCTGCTGTGCGAGCGTCCCAATCGCGGCGAGAAGCTGCTCGGCTGCATGGCAGCGGGCAAATGGGTACTGAATATCAGCTACATCGAGGAGTGTCATTCCCGCGGCGTCTTTCTGGATGAGTCCCTCTACGAGTGGGGCAATCCCAAGGCGCTCAATTTACCCACGCTGGCGCCGGAGGAGCAGCAAATCGCAGTCGCCGCGCATCGGTGGCGCCTCGAGCTGACGCCTGACATCGGCGCCTTCAGCGATCACTGTGTCATACTCAGCCTGCAAGAGCGCAATTTGGCGGCCATCAAGAACGTGCTGCGTGCCGGCGGCGCTAAAATCCTGGACCCCAGCTCACCATTCAGTGAGGATGCGACGGCAGCCAGTGCCACGCACTGCTTTGTCGATGTCAAGAAGGCGCCGCTAGCTGCGAAGGATTTCGTTTACCTGCAGCAGCATGGCGTCCGCATCATGTCACAAATGTGCATTAATAGCTACCTGATGGGCGGCCGTGAGGCCAATCTGGAAAAGTACGTCCTGCGCCAGTGAACAGCACAAATGATCTAATTTTAAATATTTTTTCTTTTTTTCTGCTCTGTTAAAATTTTCTCTATGTTAATTAATGTTGGCTCTGAGGTCCAGAACCGACTTTAGTCTGACTTCAATATAGCTCTAAGATTATATTTAAATAAATTTTCGTTCGTTTAAAAATAAATTGAATTGAAGTTCCATCAATATTTATGACTGTCTGCGTCACTTCATCTACTCAAATGAATAAATCTTTTCCAGATTAGGAGATATTTTGATATTTATAATAACAACAAGAATTTAGATCAATATTAACAATGATGATATATATCTGGTATAGTATATATTATAATAATATATAAGAAATCTAATATAAGTACATTTTCAAAAAGTATTTTAGACAATAGCCGTTTGATCTTAGGATCGTTTTGTATACCATATAGAAGTATCGTTGGGAAATCTTGAATGAGAGAATTATCTTTTTTGTTTTTTCTTGTTTTTTTTTTTATATATATATATATATATTTTATTTTGTGTTACACAATAAGGAATATTAAGTTGATTTTCATGTTACGTGCATGCTTATATATATGTATGTAGCTAAGTGTATGTATATATGCGTGTGTGTACTATGGTACCTACTAAGTATGTACGGGTATACAAATATATATAGATAAATATTTATTAGGCGGCCGTTTCGGTAAATTTCAAATTATTGAGCAGCTGCCACGGTTGGCTAACTTGTTTGATTTAGCCATCTTGGATTTCAATATTAATAACAGTTTTAAACATTAATACAGACATATATATATATATATATATATATCGGCTACTATGTGAAATATTCATTCAAATGTTTACATTATAGAGAGTAGACATATATATATATATCAATCGCTGACTGGACACCAAGTTAAGAACAGAGAAACACATATAACTAAACTCGTTGCGATCCAATACTTTGACCTAAACAAATATCTGATTATATATATATAACAACCTAGTCCAAATAGTCCATGGTCTTGATGAACTTGACAACGGAACCAAAGAGCGTCCAGTAGAACTCATCCTCCCCGTACAGCTTTTTGCCCAGAAAGCAACTGATGTATTCCACGGTGGACAGCAGATACGGTGGATTTGCCTGGTACGGTAAATGGAGCGTTGGATTATTGCAGTCGCAGATGGTACAACTGATGTGCCACTTACCATGATGACCACATAGATGAGCACGGGCAAGATATCGTCGGCGGCTGGCACACGGGGACTGGACATACGCAACAGGCTCATGATGCTGGAGATGCAGCTGTGAAAGGAATTTTGATGTATTAATCGGAATAATCATGCTCGCATGTTCACTTACTTGATGATGCAGTTTAGCTTCTCGCGCGGTGTCTTGTAGGCGGCCATGTAGGAGAGCTGCTGCTGGGCAAAGGTCCAGGGCGCCTCGCCCAGAAATTCCTGTGCAATGCAGAGCGCTGGATGCGCCGGATGCACAAAACGCTGCAGCTTGCCAATGTGTGCCGCTAGCACACCGTCTCTGGATACGTCGGCATCCTCATTGGGAAACATCACCTGCTCGTACATTTGCTCCAGCAGGAGGCGCTCAATGGCCACACGCGCGGCCTCTCGCTGCCAATCGTCCTGCAGGCCGCTATCGTGCAGCTCCTGCAGCAGACTCTCGATAAACTCTTCGATCAGCTCCAGCCGCTCGTCGCTAACGCTGAGCTGGGCAAATTCGGTCTGGAAGGTCTGTAGCTGCGCCTGCTGACGCGCCAAATACAAACGGACGAGCGACTGCAGCAGGCAGCGCTGGCAGCTGCGCGCCTCGCCACGCAGTCGCTCCTCCAGCTGCTCCAATTGCTCGGACCGCAGCAGCAGTTGCTGGCGATGCACGAGCAGGTACTGCAGATAGCTCTGCCTACGCTGCAGATCATGTTGCAGCTCTAGCAGCAGTTGGCTATGCTGCGGCCGCTCCAATTGCGCCAAACAGCGCAGCGCCTCAGCCACATGCGATATCTGCGGCAAGCGCTGCAAGCTGGTGCACTGCGCCAGCTGGATTTGCAAATACATCTGCAATGGCGTCGCATCCAGCTGCCTCAGTGTTGTCTGTCGAAAGTCGCCGCTGTGCAGATCAGTCTTTGAGAGAACCGTGCGAAGCTTTTGTTTAACGCTGCTAAACACCACGCCAGGTATTTGCCTACACGAGGAAGACAGAGAAGGAGAGAGAGAGAGAGATATTGCATGTCGTAGACAGAGACAGCAGATGATGCATACCCGCCATTGATGGCCTGGCTATGTGGCTGGGGCATACCGTGGCCATTGCCAGTGGAATCGGAATTGGTTGCCTCGCTGGAGCTGCTGACCTTGCGCCTGTATTTGGCCAGAATGTCCTCGCTGCTATCACAGAAGTGGGCGCCAAAGCTGATGCAGCCGGCGTTTCGATCGAAGTTGGTGCTGCGATTTGAATCGTTCATGCCGCCGCCTCCGCCGCCGCCGCTACTGCCGCCATGGTTATTGTTGTTGTTGCTGCTGCCGCTGGCCAGGCGCTGGCTTGCCGACAATGTTGATGCAGACTTATTGCTGCTGCTGCGCCGATTCTTGAAGATGCCGTGTCGCAGTTTGGTGAGAATGCCGTGCTCTCGCAGATCGCGCTGCGCTCGATGTTTATCCTTATCAGCGCTGGCATCGAAGCTGATGCTCTTTGGTATAGCGCCGGTTGCCTTACTGGGCTTGCTTTGGCCTGCTGCAGCAGCGGCGGGTGGATCGTCAAACAGCTGCAGCTGCTGGGCCTGGGCACAGAGCAGCTGCAGCTCCTGCTGCTTATCATCGTCCGTTTTGGCTTGGGTGGGCAGCATGGCGTGCAGCATGATCTCGTGGTTCTCGTAGTTGAGACTCTGATGACGGCGCTCGCTGCCACCGGCCAGTATGCCATTGCGGCGTCCATCCTCGCTGGCCGTGCGCTGCTCCATGGATATACGACGATGTTGGACGCCGCTGCGCATGTGGTGTTCGATGCCAAATTTGTCCATTAGCTGCTGCACCAGGCCCGGCGGATCCTCCTTGTCCTCGCTGTAGTCACTGAAGTCGATCAGGTCATGGTGATCGCTGGCTGCAATGGCCGTCACCGATGCTGCCATCATCTGCATCTGCTGTTGCTTCTTTTTCTTGTGATGATGATGGTGATGGTGGTGGTGGTGATGATGGTGGTGGTGTTGCTGTGACTGGCTGGTTGTTGTCGGCTCCTCCAAATTGAGGCTCTGATTGGAAATGCTGCTCTCCGCCGACGTCTGTCGCCGCATACAGGCGATGCCCATGAGCGGCGTGCTCTTTCGCCCCTCCGCTCCGCTGCATTTGTACTGCTGCTGGAAGCTGCTGTCGCCGCTGTCACTGCCTAGGCCATGGTAGCTGGTGCGCACCGAGCTGCGAGCCAGCGACGAGGCTATCTGATAAAGATGCGCATCCTCGTACGAGTTGACGGCATCGAAGAAGGCCGAGTCCTCTTGGCTGCGCTCGCTGGCACTGGCATTCCCATTTCCATCGGCATCTGCGTCACCATCGCCACTGCTGCCCGGCGTCTGTTCCCCGTCGTCGAGAACAACAGCGGGCACCATGGGAGCCACAATATCGGACTTGGCGGTTATGCTGGCATTATCATCCGTATCTATTTCGGCCAGCTTCTCGGAATCACTGGCCAGCACATCCGTGCTCCAGTTGGACTCGGACCGCTGATCAGAGGCATCCAGCGATGGAGCAGCAGCTCTGGCTAGTGCCTCCACCACAAAGTTGTTATTGTCACCTGGCAGCACCACAGCGGATGGTATCAGTGGTGTGGCAAAGTTGCGTTCGCGCTCCCTGTCCCTTTCTCGCTCACGCTGCTCGTTGCTGGCGTCCAGTGTCGTCTCCGAGTCACTGGCCAGCACATCCGTCGACCAGGTGTCTGAAATGATGCTCACGTTCTCATCGCCCTCGAATTTTTTCAGTTCGAACTTGCAGAACTTATCCTCGATGTCGGAACGCGCCTTGGACAGCAACATCTTTTGCATTTGGGGCGTGGGCCGAGCCGCATGATGGGTCAAGTCACCGCCGGCACCATCGCCATCCGTCACCTGTGACGAAGGCGTGTCGCGTCCACTAATGTTGGGCGTGCCACGGCCGGACACATTGGCGGACACCATATCCGACAAATTGTCATCGTTTTCCACGTCATGCGCATCGCGTTCTTGCTGCTCCTCTAAGTCCAGAGAACTAACCACCGAATGATTGGCCGAATGTGCTGCCTCGCTAATCGCTTCCAAGTTGTCCGAGTTGCCAATTGAGGCGTCGTCATGTGGCCGGCGCATCGCATCCAAACTGCTGACATCGTCTGCATTGGAGGATGCGGCTGCCGCTGCCCCAGTCACGGGCACTATATCCTGGCCAATGCAGTTCATCTTCAGCAAATCCTCCTCGGTGAGCGGCTTCAGTTTGTTCTTGGAAGCCGCATTGTAAATGCTAAACATCAGCACACGCTCATCCCCTTCTGGAAGAGGAGTGTCTGCATCTGGCACAGTTGCCCCAGCTGCAACACTTGTTGCAATCGCTATGGCTGCACCATTGCTGGCGGCTCCACAGGAGCTGAGGCTGGTGTTGCTGCCGCTATGCGAGGAGGAGCACTGCTCCATGTCACCATTATGGCCATTTGCCGAGCTGCCATTGCCCAAGTCAACGATGTGGTTGCTGCTGCTGCCGCTGCTGTTGATGCTGATATTGTTATTGTTGTTGTTGTTGTTGTTGTTATTATTGATGTTGCTGTTGCTGTTGGTAGTAAAGCTCATGCCCTTCGCCAGCTTTTTTTTCGTAGCCTTGCCCAGACGCATGAGTCCCTTATTCGAGCGTTTACCATTCTTCTCGGGAGACACCGCTTCGGGTGGGGCCATGCATGTAGCTGCTGTTCTGTCTCCCTCCGGCTTGGGTATGCGAGATAAGATGCGCTGCAGTCGCTGCCGCTCTTCGGCGGAGACATCGTACTCGACCCGTGCGGCCAGCAAACGAAAGAAGTCCGCAAATTGCTGCAGCTCGCGCTGATTGATGGCCAACTGGCCGCGCTCAAAGTCGCTCTGCTGTGGCAGAATGGCCACAACATCCTCACCGGTTTGGCCCAGCAGCAGCAGCTCCATGAGCTGTGTCAGCTCACTGGCCTCGTCGCTCAACGCCATACGCTGCAGCAGCTGCACAATCTGATTGAGATTGTGACGCATCTGCTCGCCCACGTTGACGTCGATGATGCCCAGCAGATCGGCGCTGACAATGGCGGGGCAAATGAAGTGTGTGAAGACCAGATCAGTGAGTAGCTGCCGTATCTCGTGGTCGCTGTGACGCTGCGTCTGCCGCAACTGTTGCCCCAGCGTTTGAAGCAGCCAGCGCAACGAGCTAGGAAACAAGGCCCAGCTCTTCTTCAGACTGCGCACAAAGGCCTGTGCGTGCGCGTGCAGCTTGCCCAGCGTCTCTGCATGAAAGCGTGCCACATTGTGCTGATAATCGGAGCTGCTGGCATCCTCGCCAAAACGACGTTCTCGCTCACGCGCCGTAAAACTCTGCAGTAGCTTGTGTGGATCGACGTCGAGCAGCACATCGTGTTCGCTCAGCACCGCCATTAGCGGCTCGTGCAGGGCCGATGTTAGAAAGATTCTAGCAGAGAAGAGAGACTCTACCAGCCGGTGATAGAGACGTGCAAAGGCGCTGCCATTTGTCCGCAGCAGGCGACGCGGCTGCTCGCTGTTCATCAGCTGCAGTTCGATCAGCTCGCGCAGCAACTTGAGCAGCAGCTCCACATCCTTTGTGTTGATCGCATTGCCATAGAGTCCACTGGCAATCGTATTGACTATCTGTCCCAGCTGCGCCGGCGCCAGCAGCGACAAACGATCAGCCGTTGCCAGCGACAAGGCCAGCAAATACGGCGTATTGTACAAATAGTTGAACAGGTCCTCATAGGCAAGAGCGTGCTGAAAAAAGAGACCAAAACAATTATTCAACATCATTTCGAATTATTGATTCTTAATCAACAAGCTAAACTAAGTCGATATAGCTATACGTGTTTACATAGCTTCGTTATCTCTTCCTATCTGTTTGATATTGTTAAGAACCTATGTTGGCCTTTGAGTGTTTAAGCAGACCTCAAAATACTAAGGACGCCAATTGCTTAGGTATTTTTTTTATATAAAATTTAAATGCATAAAGAATCAAAAGTTAAAAATACTCTCTTTAAACTATGTGGCTTTGATATAGCACTAACTAGTCTACATATGTGTTTATAAGACTAAATTTATGACTTACAAACGAACGCTCTAGAGCTATCATCTAATCACATATACCGACAATGATTCGGTATACGATCCAGACTCTATAGCCATATCTAAACTAATCAACATTATATTGTTATGGAACCAACGAGTAAGACTGCCCGACTAAGATATACCCTGAAACCTGCTGCTGCTATTCCAATCATTCTACGCTTCTCTATTACATACATTTCTAATACTTTAATATATCTGCCATCTCTAGCTTTCGATCAAGAGTATGGAATCTGCCACGCCTCCTTCTGACTGATACATGCATTTACAAAAAACCAATATACCCTGAATTTGCATTTCAATGGGACTAACATACCCTACAAAAGAGCCGCCAGCGATATTTAGTTGCTGATAGTTGGCCATTTCAAATTACGACTTAAAGTTACCGACTTCCATTGTGAGCTTTAAAGTTTCCTGGATTGAAACGACTACGCATAACACAAGTATCTACGCTGTAACTGTATCAAAAAATATTTCCTCTATTCAGATCGGACGTTCTTTGTTGTCTGGGCAGCCAGCTGATATGTTAGCTCTTGGATGTGTACCACATACATATATATATAAAACATATATATATTTATAACAATGTATACTCCTTTGGCATTTAGTTACACACCTCGTAGGGCAACACCTTCTTGGCATCCACAAATGGGGCATTCTCGTAGGTGCTAGCACGTCGGCAACATAGGAACGGATCATGATCCGTTCTGGCCAGCAGCAGGTCATGTAGGTTCTGTCTTTGTTGGGCACAGATGTATGCCAGCTAGACGACACGTCGGTTGGGGAAAGAGATCGAAATGGGTTGATAAATAAATGAGACGTGACATTGTTAATAAACAAATATGGGTGCGAACCTTTGTTATTGTCGTCGCATTGGTCTCCAAGGCGGTAGTCAGCTGTGCGAAGGCCGCCTGCTCATTCTGTATGAAGAGCTGTTCCTGGCGCAGTGTCCGTGCCAGATCCATGATCTCCAACAGATTGCCGCCAGCTGAGGGCTCCATGGTGAGGCCCTTGCTGAAGTTCACCCAAAAAAAAACAATAAAAAATATTATTTCTATTCTTTGATTTGAATTCTATTTAAGATGATGACTATTCTAAATCACTTTCCATATTTTATAATTCACACTTTTTCTTAGGACTTCAAGTTCGCATTGATCTTTCAAATTGCATGACTTATTGAATTGGATACTGTTATATATTATATATAAATATTTATATTCGGAACTGTATTGTATCACAACTTTCTCTGATGTTGAATTGAAAAACTATTTGTATGGCAATTAACGCGCATTTGTGATGCCAATGGGCTGCGGGATTCAGTTACATTTATCTGATAAATACCAGTGCAGTTAGTCTACTATATACATGTGTATATCTACACACATAAATATATATTTATATATGTAATCAAACTAATGTAGCTGAACAGCATCAGCTCAAGCAAAACGTTATTGAAATGAGCTACGGCCAGAGCTTATCAACCTGTTTTGTTACTGAATTTGACAGCTCTATGATGGCGATGAGTCCAAAATTCCATTTACAAATCACAAATCACAAATTATTTGAACACATAAGATTTCAGATATATTAATACCTAGCTTAAAAATGCGAAAAACTCGCTGGGACTGAAAAATGAAATTGAAATTGGGGCAAATGATTGGAGTGCCTAAAAATAAATAAATGTATTTCGTCTTCAAAAAGAGCGAGGGAGAGGGAGAGAGGGAGAGAGAGAGATAGAGAAAGATACAGAGAGAGGGGGGAGAGGAAGAAATATATATTTGCAATGTTATTTAAAGCATATAATTGGGCCATAAATATTGTTCTCTGGGAACCTGAGTCGATTATACAAAGTAAACAAAACACGTGACGAATATGTGAAAATGTTCACATATTGCGATTATTATCTATATCTGAGAAAGTACCTGGATTGCCTCTATGTTATGTAAAACAGTAAATAAACGCGATTCGGTCTGAAGAGCTTAGATTTAACTCCCGAGCTGCATGGACATATGGTATACAGGAAAGAGATCATTAATGGCAATTTATCATAATATGATGATCAGTCAAACGCATTATATAATATATGTATACCACAATACAATGTTTTTATCTTTGAGTGAGCGTATTTCGATTGCCTGTATTCGTGTCCAAGTTCGTAATTGAACAACAGTCAAACTGGACCCGAAAATTAGTTAGTTTTTTCTTTCTTGACTTGCTGACTATCTTATCGATAACTGGAGTAAGTTTCGTTGACTTCGAGTATTAGCAGAGCTTTCCATACATAACAAATTAGATAAACGCTATGACCAATTCGCAGGTAACCGGCAGCGCAGTGACTGGGCTGCAATTGAAACTGTTTAATATATATATATGTAAGTGTAGGTGTGTGGGTATAACAGTATAGCAATATACATGTACATGTAACATATATTTTGCGAAAAATGGCAAAATTAAAGGAATGTGAAAACAAAAACCAAACAATACAGATTTAGTGCGCTCATTACACACACACACACACGAATGCACCCACACATAGCGACACAGACACCCCGTAAAGGGGCGTTTAAATGTGCCAGCAGATTGGGGGTGGCGATCTCTCTTTGTGTATATATACACACATATATATATATATTTATATAGACGTTTGTATATGTGTGCTTAAATTTGTTATTTTACGTACCATGCACTGAATACAACGAAAGCGAATGACAATCAAAGCGTACGCGCCAATCGCCAAATGAATGGAAATGCAATAGCAATCGCTATTGGATGGGCAAGGGAGAGCGACACCAAAGAGGAAACAGCGAGAATAGGCGAGCGAGTGAGAGCACGCATTAGGCGAAGGCCAAGTGCTTCTTTGTTGTTGCTGTTTTTGTTGTTATTGCTGCTGATGTCTTCTGCGTTGCCGTAAAGAAAGCCAACGGACTTATGAATGAAAGTGACGCGTTACAACAAATACAACAAGAGTGAGACAACTGCGTCATAACAAACCAATCATAATAAAGCATACGCATGTACATACATACATACATACATACATACATACTACTTATGCTAACATACATAAGTAGCAAATATCGTCTTACTTTAAACTCAGAGAGACACAAAATTAGTCCTTAGTTATTATTACTTGCGCGTGTAATTAACTAGTAATTTGACATATAATTTGTCACAATACACACGAGACACAAGAGACAAAACGAAGTTGACGCCTCCGCAGTCAGCAATACAACTGTTTTATAGCGCGTGTGAAGCTGTGCTGAAGTTGTGTGGGTTAGTTTGCCAATGTTTCACTGTGGGTTGTTGCTGCTGCTGCTGCTACTGCATGTTCACATTCACATTCGCATTCGCATGCACACAACACACATACAACTAAACAGACATATATCTTTTCGACTGCGTCTGTCGTTTTGCTTACTTTAGCTGTGCTGTATTGGATTCGTTTAATAGATGTATTCCTTAAATGTGTTAGCAATTAATAATTGCAATACAGGACTAAGTAGAAATTTAACAATAATAAAAACAACAAAAAAATTGGTACAATATCAACCACACGCGACGGTCAAATAGAAATAACAAAAACAATCAACTCATTACTTCTACGATTACATATACACTGAAGTGGAAAATAAACTACAGCCTGTTATCGATACGTTGAGATATGTCGATATTGCGGTCAGTGTTACCAGCTTTCCAAAAGCCAAAAATTCATATCAACAACAATTTAAAAAGTCTAGAAAGAACAGAACATTTCTTTTTGTTTTTATAATTATTATTATTCAAATAAAGTTATACAATAATTCAAATTTGAATAATCTGTCAAAAGCACTACCTATTTGCAAATTTAATTTAACATCGACAATATCATTGATAAAAACTCCAGAAAAACTCGTTGCACACAATGCTAAGTTCTATTTCTTCATTTGATTTTTTTTGAATGTAGTACGACCAAAATATCAACTTTTGACATATCATTCAAATTTTTAAATTTGCAGCTTGCGATAGGAAAGTATGGCTAGAGATGAGGAAGCTATATCAGTTGCGTGAAACTATCGATTAGTAAGGATGGGAAATTTTAATATTATGGGATTTTTGCAGAAGTGCTGTGACAGATAAAATCAAGCCTATTCATGTTTCAATAGATCCCGCCAACCGCCATTTCACATATTGTCCCGCACTTGACATTTGTAAAACGGCAGAGCTGGCGGGAAACTAGCCAAATAGATAACAGCGCTTGCAGCTCGGACGACTAGTGTTGTGTCTCTTTGTAATATAAGCGTTTTGCAACACCATACGTTGCTGATATTCGACAGCTGTTTGCGGTTTTTCAGTTTAGTATTTTACTGATAAATTTATTGCTGACGCTTATTTAAAAAAGAATATTAAACAAATAATATGCCAAAAGTGCGCCGCAGCCGTAAACCCCCGCCAGATGGATGGGAGCTCATCGAACCGACGCTGGAAGAGCTGGAACAGAAAATGCGCGAAGGTATGCATGCTGATGTCGCTTATTGTACTACATATACGTTTAAATATATGTATGTAATTATGTGTGCAGCTGGAATATTTGCTGAAATTAGCTTTGTATGCTTGCAGCGGAGACCGAGCCACATGAGGGAAAGCGCATCACAGAGTCTCTGTGGCCCATCTTTAAGATACACCATCAGAAGACGCGGTACATCTACGACTTGTTCTATCGCCGCAAGGCCATCAGCCGTGAGCTTTACGACTATTGCCTGAAGGAGAAGATAGCAGACTGCAACCTGATAGCCAAATGGAAGAAGTCCGGCTACGAGAATCTATGCTGCTTGCGTTGCATCCAAACACGCGACACCAACTTTGGCACCAACTGCATTTGTCGCGTGCCCAAGTCAAAGCTCGAGGAGGGCCGCATCGTTGAGTGCGTCCATTGTGGCTGTCGTGGCTGCTCCGGCTAAGCTACTAGCTAGAATTTTTTTTTAATATGAGTAATATGTAGCTTAAAAGCGTATATCAGTAATTCTGATTATTTTTTTTTACTGATCTTGACAATGAAACTTTAGTTTCTATGTAAATAGTTCACATTGTTTCCTCATTTTATAATCAATATATATATATATATATATATATATATATATATATATATATATATATATATATATATATATATATATATATATATATATATATATATATATATATGCTGTTTTTTATACGATTTTTATGTACTAGTTTATAAGCATATAGTAAAATACAAGAAACCCCCCTCGATTTTATACAAAGCAAAAAGGAAAATTTATAAATCAATTGTTTTCATCTTTTGGGCAAGTTACAGACATTTAAGTTAAGCCAGTTCTTAGCCATTCTGGGAATTATTTTTAACTTTTATCAGCAACTTGTGCCATAGATACACGTTGTTCTTATCAGCTTTGTACATGGAATCTAAATCTGCGGATATCCGACTTCCATAAATCAATCTGAAATTGATTTTATATCAAAAAAGTAATGATCAACCAGAAAATACCCTGAACTGAACAGGTTGGGTTTCTAAGCTTGCACACCCAGTACCCTAAAGTGCTGCGCCTGTTTTACCGAGCCCTAGCCTAGCCTACTACTCTAGATGTGTGTTCTTACTGCAATTTTCAATAATAACTTTGGAGCAAACTAGGCATAAACTCAAATTGTAGGTGTCCTTTGTTGGGTATTAAAATTCTATGTTCAGGCTAAAGCATTGAAAATAGGTAAAAATCGGCTTATAGTAGCACTGTTCAAAGAGCTTTAAATGCTGGATACTATTCTCCATTGCAGATTATTTATATATATAAATTTGCATGTACCAAATATAATATGATATTTGCAGTTGAAACACTATGCTAAAACAGAGATACTTGATTTATAGAATTGAAATATTGTAAAGCTTTGCATATGCTCACCTTGATGCTGGCCATGTCACCCACCTAAACATAAAACTCCGAGAAAAGAAAAAAAAAGAGTTGTCAAGGCTCAAATGAATGCCTCAAAATCCTATTTTATTTCCATACACACAATATATATATATATTTATATATATGTGTATATACTTATATGTGTGCGTGTGCAAAACATGTTTTGCCATTTTGTAGTAAATTCTCGCCACAAATCCTATTGGGCGTCCATTGCCGTCTCCCAGCTTATGGCTGTGTGCGTGTGTGTGTGAGTGTGTCGTTCTAGTCCACGCACACCCACGAACACACACACGTATCGTATATTTTAATTTAATGCCCTGAGCAATTTATTACTGCGCTGACATAATTCAAACTCAATGGCATTGGCATTGGGGGCTTCTTTGTGGAGCTGGGCTTGGGGATCCTGCGAACTGTCGCTTTATGTGCGTATTTATGGGACCTGGACTTGACTGGACCTGCCTTCGCGGCTAGCGAACGGCGGACAGGGGCGTGGCCCCTGTGCTGCTGCCTTGACTGGGTCACAATTCGACAAAATGATTATAAATGGCTTTTTAATTATACTTATGAGCAGTTTCTTCTTTTTTCCTCTATCTCCCTTGGCAGCCAACTGGAAGTAGAACCGCATTTTCTATAATAATATTTTGTATTATAATACCGCTTCAGTCGCGTCTGTTGCTGACAGAGCTCAGCTCAAGGATTTGGCTGATGGCTGCTGTAAGATAATTGTTTTTTTTTTTAGCCTAGCCCAACTGCTTCCATCAGAGTCTCCTGCTCTCATCCAAATGAATTTTCATCCAATTGTTGATTTATGCACATAGATATCTAGTATTAAGCAGACGCGACTCTATTGAGCTGTTGCCTAATGAAAATCTTTGGCACATTCGCTGCCGCCGGATGAGCTCGTTAAAATTGTTGAAGTTTAATGACCCTGTTGGCGCCTCCGAAACTTAATGAAGTGGTAAGTGCATTTGGCATGCGTTCAACCCATAAAACCGAAATACCATAAAGCATAATTCGAATAGAGTAGGACCGAGAACAAAGTGTAATCCAAATCAGGAAACTTGGCTTAATTCGCTTTCAAGTTTTGTTAGTGGATTTTGTGTTTGGGTAATTGAAAAAGAAGACAGACGAAAGCTTTCATAACAATATTTCAATATGGGCTAAGGAAACTTACTGATGCCAATAGCTTCACTTGCAAAATAATTGAAGAGAGTGAGAGAACGATAAAAAGACATAGCAAGAGATGGGCAAGAAAGTGAAAAACAAAGAAAGAGAAAGTCAGTGAAACAGGAAGAGAGAGAGAGAGATATCTCTTAGGAATAGGAATAGGAATAGACTTAGGAATAGAAAAATAGACAGATGACTAAAGTGAGATATAGAGAGCGGGAGAGAGAAGGTGAAAGGCGGAGAGAAAGAGAAGGAAGAAAGTAAGATATATAATGATATAAATAAGGAGTTATACATATGAGAAAAGGGAGAGAAAAGGAGAGACACGCAAAGAGAATGTTAAAGAAGCAAAGCGAGCGAGAAAATAGAGCAAAAAGAGAAAGGGAGTACAGAAAGAGATGAAGATATATGAATGCATATAATGAGAGAGGAAAGAGAGGCAAATAATCATACATGTATAAATAGAGAGAGAGAGGTAGAGCTATCGAGAGTCAGTAAAAAACTGTTTAACATATTGCTCGATATTCGATTGCATTTAATTCGAACGCATTTAAAATAGACGCTGCCATATATTTATTATTTATTTATTTGTTGTAAAAGCCCATCTCATATTTAAATAAAATAGTAGAATATTTATAAAAATGCAATTACTTTGATGACTTTCTGACTTATTTATATTATTTACTCAACTACATGAAAATGCGCCCGTTTAAAAAGTTTCCATTAAACGTGACATTTTTTTGGTTGTAGTTGGCAAATGGCAAGAGTTACAGTAATTGAGTTGCCTGTCAGCTATTATTAAGGAATTCTTTTTTGGAGGGGGTTTTGTTATTGTCAAGCCAACGGCACTTAATTTAATTGTTGTGCCGGGTGCTACCTGCATGCAATCCATGCCGCAACAGGCAGCAACATGTCCGCCAGGCCTGACAAATCGCTGCGACGCGACCAACCCATCAAATCAAAAAATTGTTTACCTGCCAGCCATGCCACTTGCCACTGTCAATGCCGCTGCAACGGGCCACAGGCTAGAAGAGGCGACCCCGACGCCTGTTGATTGGTTTATGGCCTTTCGCTTATCGCACTCGCACACTGCCCCTACTCCCGCTGCTTCTACTCCTCTCTCACTCTCTCGCTATTATCAGTGCGTGCGAATGTAAATGCCAGTTATTTAGTTGCTTCACTGTTGACAGTCCCCGATAAGCCGCTGCACTTGAACTTGGCTTCGTGTTGACCAAAAACTGTTTGCTTAGCCAACATCTAAGTAGATGCTTAAGCAAACTAGATTCGATTTGATTCGATGCAAATTTATGTTTATACATATATATATATATATATATATATATATATATATATATATATATATATATATATATATATATATATATATATATATAACAGAATCAAATATGTGCATCTGTATATGTGTCAAATTCATATATATAAATATATTGATAAATAAAAGCGAAACAAATAATAGCACCACTACGATATTTTTGGTATTAAATATTTATATTTAAATTGCAAATTTCATTACTTTTTATGGCTTTTAATATATATTCATAAGTTTTTTATATCCGCAAATCAAAATTAAATGACTAAAGAATATTTTAGCATGGTGCTATTATATTATATATCGCATATCTTTATGTATAGTATATATGTGTATGTGTACATATATATGCATAAACTGAATTTTAAATTATTCGAAATACATTTTAAGTCGAAATTAATTTATATTTTATTATACAACATTCAATAAATCGTTTAAACTGAATCAACTTTAAGGCTTCGAAAATAGATTTTTTTAGAGTTACATAACTTTGAGTGGACCACACTCCTTTCTTTGGCAGCTTATTAAATAAATAATAATTGTGTTTTGTTGAGTTTGGATTGACAATTTATTGCGAAGCAATAAAATAGGATTCAAGTTTTTGTTTAAAACACCCTTGTATGGATAGAAAATTACAGTTTGGCGAACTTTATGTGCTGGCAGAGTGAAATATTATTATCTTTTAAAAACAATAATGTTTATAATTGTTAGAATTGGTCAAAATCATATATAAACCTTAATGTCATAAAATATATATATTAAAATATTTTATTCTATTATTATTTACGTTTATTTAGCTCTAAAATAAACACATACATTTCAATACTTACTAGACTTTGATTTATATGCAGAACAAGTCAAGCATGAATATATATATATATATATACTAAAATAAAAATAGACCAAATCATACTTTATTCTATATATATTGTTGTATATATATTCGATTAGCATACCCAATCTTACGTCTATCAAAGGCATTGCAACCTCTCAAAGGCTCGTCTTGCTGTCCAGGAAGCGAACTTGTTTGACTATACCTGAACACTATATCGTATAGTCTGAGCTGTTGTATGAAAATGTGTTGATATTCAATATACTTTAAAATATATTTCTCACTATATCCATTTATATATATAATCATTCAATAGTTAAATCGGAAACAAAAGTAGGTAGCAGCCAATGCCCGCTGATGGTTCAGTTAAAACCCAAACAAGTCGCACGCTAATCCGTTTGTTTACGTGACTTTGTGCCGAGTTTGGTGTGTAGGTAGTTGGCCAGGTAGGCGTTGCATGTGGTCGCGGCACAATGGAGATCATAAAATGGTCGCAAGTTGATTCATAATGGAAGTTGACCTGCGCGTGCTGCGTACTTGGCCATCTATAAAAGCGAAGCGCACAAATTACTGACAGCAATTGCAGTTCTGAGTTCGGGGCGAGCAGTCAAACAATAGCCGAAGGCGATCATTGAAAGTGCAAACAGACGAACGAAGTTATGGAACATAGCAATCTTTATCTGCACAAGTTTTACACCCAGCTGGGCCACTATCCGGTCCACGGCATCAATGTGCATCCGAGCAAGCTGCCCGCATTGCATAGCAATAAACCGGAGCAGATTGACGAGCTGGTCGCGGTTGAGTTGCAGCACCTGAAGACGCACTATGCTGACGAGGAGCAGCGCTACGTGGACCAAATGCTCATCGAGAATCCCATTGTGGTGGAGCGACGTGCACCGCCGACCACACATATAAATCACATTCAGACACAGACGAAGACGCAGAGCCAGACTGGAGGCAATAGCCGTGATGCACAGCGTCAGCGAGCGGAGTCCTGTCGCAAGTCGCGCTACAACAACAAGATCAAGAAGGCGAAACTGCGCTTCCGCCATAAGTTCGTCTGCAGCCAGCTGACGGAGAGCGCGGGCGCACTGGACTACATGCGCGACGTGATCGCCCAGGCGGAGGCGCAGCTCATGGCGCGCGGCTTCAGTCGAGTTGCCTTGGAGCGCATGCGTCAGAACTTCGGCGTGGATCGCTGTGGTGCAGCGTTAGCCACAAACATGGACCATTGAGATCGGTCGCGCTGGCATTATAGATAATGCCAGTCTTCAGTTGTACAAAGAGACAGAGTCAAAGAGAGAGAAAGCAGCGAGAGAGAAAGAGCGAGCGTTAGATATTTAAGTTATAATTTAAGCCAAGTTATCGTATTATTAACAACTTTTTTTTTATTGTTTTCAAATAAATATATTAAATTAAAAATAATTGATCAAGTTGCTATTTTTACCTTGCATAGGAGCGATACTCTTTCCGATAACTATTGTGAGCTATCGATAACAATTTGCTCAGAAGGAACTCAGCTATCTTAAGACAAAATCCTAATATTTCTTGTCAGATAAAGCTCTTATCTTAAGACACGCCAATGCCGCTCAGATTTCATTTCACAGTCATTGCAAATGGTGTCCTACGCTCGAAGCACTGAGAGGCAAACTAAGATAAGTATTCAAATAATATGATATATCTTATATAATGGCGTAGCTGTAGCTTAATGGTAAGCTTAGAAATTTTAAAATATCTCAAATAGTTTTTGTTTTATAGCAATTTATTTTTCTATTGCTCTTAATGTGTCACACGCTTCACAGAGACTGAAGGCTGAAGGCTGCTCAAAGATCTAGATTCTTCTTCAGTTTGCCACGCTGCAGTCATTGAAGCCAGTTCCCCCTTGTCAATGGGTATTTAGGGTATCAACTGATTATTGGATGTGATAGCATTGGCCATTTTACATAGGGTATTTCGATCAGCTTGAGCTGATTTGTGCAGCATTCGGTCTGCAGTCTGCTGGGAGGGGCTTGTTAGGCAAATGGAGTGGCAACTGTTTGTGCTTGCAGTGACGATTCGCCGTGTGTAATCCAATTGCAAGCCGGGGGCATCAGAGCGACTGAAAGTCGCTGCCAGGCCACACGCAGAGCCCAGCTGCCAATCTGAGCGGATGCACAGCTGGCTTTGGTGTTGCAGCCGTTGCCGTTGGCGCTGTCGCTGCCGCTGGCTCTGCCCAGGTGCTAAATCCGCCTTGATTGCGTTTTCGTTTTTCCGATTCTGTTCTCCCCTTCTTCTCTCTTTTTGTTCCCTTACAATTTGTGTGCCAACAGATGTAAATGCAACGGAACTTGTAGCCGTCAGGGCCATGAGTAGCGGTGGGGCTCTCCTGCGAAATGATGTGGAATTAAGTGCATAAATATATATATATATATATTTTTTTTTTATGTATTTGTGTGTATATATAAGATGCAACTGGCACAATGTCCAATGGCTGTGGCAAAGCCGCAAAGCGCATTTTGTGCTGATGCTAAAATTTCATTTTCACGTGCTACGTACAAATGATTTCATTGCGCTTCGCTGCGCCGGTGGCACGCACGTCGACGCTGGGGGTTGAGGCTGGGACTCGTCAGAGCTTAACGGCCTCGTCATAATAATAAATGGCAAAACGTTCCCAAACTTAAAGCTTTCCAATTTGATTTTATCGCGTTGCTCATAAACCTCGCAAATATCCAATGGCCAATGGAGTCGCTTAAGGCGATGCGCCAGCAGCATTGCAATGAATTCCAAGCTTCCCAGTTCGTTTCGTCGCAATTGTCTTGACGCAGCTTAGGACGTGGCGACGGAAAGGACTCCGGCTGCATGCACTTTCGTGTCGTCACACCTGGCGTATGAGCGATAAAGTACCGAAACGAAGCTGCTCGCCGCTGATAGACAACGTCAGCAGCCTTCAATTCAATGCACGTTTCTAATGCGATGAATTGCTTTTTCAATTTTCCAATTTATTTTTCATTTTGAAAACGCCAAGTGTGTGTGTCAGTGTTTGTCGGTGTGTGTGTGTGTGTCTCTGTATGAAAAAGAACCCAACCAGAGGGTCCGAGCTGCGAAAGAAAAGTGTAGCAGAGTTTATTGATGGTTTTTGTTGGTGCAGTTGGCAGCGACGCAGGCAACGCATGAGGTTGCATGCTACTGTGGCACGGGTGATTTGGACGCAAGCAGTGGCCAGTTTTGGGCGACTGAAAAAATAACTGTGCACATTGCACAGTGGTGCAGAAAATGTAACTTTGCACTTTGTGCTTGTTTGTCGTAGTTTGTTTGTAACTGCGTGTGATTAATTGGCAAATACCCTGTATTTTAGAGTTTTAAATGTCTACACTGATGCTTCTAAAAATCTCTCTTTCCCTTATCTCTCTCTATTACACCCATTTGAATTCGGTATTTCCCATAAGCTGAGACCTTAAATCAATTAAACTGGTTCAATATGATAAGATTTTTTTAGAGCAGCAGCAAATTTTTATAATTAATTATATTTATTAATTGATAATTAAAATATATGTAGGCTGAGAACTTGAGGACAAATTGAGTCTTCTATAGCACCTAACTGTGGGTCGAACCAACGCAGCAAAATTTTGTGGTATGTGAGTAATAAGTAGATGTAGAAAAATAAATGTATATATAATTTATTTTTAAAGAGTAATTAAGATATGCTGCATACAATTTGTATTCTGTCTGCATTTTTTTATCATATTTTTATATATTTCTTTTATACACCAGATAAATAATAATATTTTAGTCATCTTAAAAATATTATTTTTCTGATGTTTTTAGAATTTTGAAAGAATTTACAGCTGAGCCAAGCATAATTAAAAATAAATAGGGATATTCTGATATACTGAGTTAAAAAGCATAGCAAAAATTCAAATTAAACTTCTGGGTTTATCATGCTTATTTTAATTGCAAACCGATTTAGATTGCTGAAGGCTAAATCAGAAAGCTGAATCTATCTATTATGCCTTGAATCATTTAGATTTATTTTAACAAAAGCAAAAAATTGCTGCTGCAGTAGCTTTAACTCAAATTGTAAATTTAACAAACATTTTCAAACGTCTTTATGACTGAGTCTCTGGAGTGAGTGTGCTGCATTTGCTCATTGCCTCGCTCACTCTAACTGTTGGCTCTCTTTCAACAGATGAAAAATGACATAGAGATTATATATATATTTATATATAAAGTAGAAATATACAAAGAAACTTAAATAGGTGGCTGAACGGCACAAAGAGCTTATTAGAACAGCTCAGAAATAGAATAAGAAAAACAGTTTTTCTCTTCACGTTTCCACACTCAAATTGCACTCCAATTGCAAGTGGAGTGAAAATCTTGTTCTACAAATTTGAACAAATTGTGTTGGCCAGTGTTTTGCAACAACGATATTTCTTGGTGTGCACACTATGTAGCACAGTGTATTATGTATACAAATTGCTAGGAAAAAACGTAATTGCTTAGGCAACATTAAAGCCGAGTTCATTTCCCATTTATTATTGAATATCGTAAAAAATGTGAAAAACAATTGGAAATCATGTGGAAAATGAAAACAAACAATATGAAAATCAACATTGGTTCTTATTGGGTATTAAATTTAATGAAAATTGGGTGCCAATGTGCAGAAATGTTGAATGGGGAATTTCAATTGAATTGGGCGCTCGCTCGAGTGTTTTGCTTTCGAATTGTGTGGCTGGTCGGCCAAACTATGAATTGAATTGAGTTGATTTGGCATGTGAATTGCGTTTTCATATTGCGATTGTGTCGATTTCTAAAGAACTCCGGTGTCTTTTGGCGTAGCCCGACCCAACCGCCCAGCCACCCAGTCATCCAACCACCCAACCACCCGGCCCGACTCTATAAATCAGTGTGTCACACAGAATGAGAGTCGCATAAATTTCGATTTGGATTTCGATTTGCTCGACATTCAACAATAATACTGGAAAGGCAGCCGCAGTCGATGTCGATGTCGATGTTTGCTCAGTGGCAAAGGCGGCCCCAGGTGGGAGAATGGCAGCTGACATAACTGGTCTCTAATTACGTTTGGGCAAACAGACAAAATTGCAGGTGTCAAAACATTAGCTGCCTGAGCCCCACTTGGCCAACGTCTACCGACCGAACTCATTTGTGGGTGCAACGCGTTGGCGAACGGCGGCATGTGGGCCCAACTGCTGCTCTTGGCGCTGTTTGGCTGCAGCTATTCCCGGCCAGCCTCTTTGGATGTGCTGCTGGCGGAGCCTCTGCGCAGCATACCGTTTCTGCACGTGCTGCTGCGTCAGGGAGAACAGCTGCAGGAGGATGCCCGCAATGGCAATGTCATGTGGTTCATGCAGCTCACTGATGTGCCGCACACCATGCACAGTTACGATGAGGTTCGGCCACTGGAGTTGGACAGCAATTTAATGGATCTGGATAGCCGCGGCTCCTTGGTCTTGGTCATCAGCTTGGCTCAGTTGATATCCGGCGGCGGCGCAGTCAGCTCAGCGGGTCGCGCCGGCGTCTATTTCTATATTGTGCCCGATGTGGTGGACAGCCTGAGCCGTGAGCAGCAGCTGCAGATGGAGCAGAGCTGCCGTCAGCTGTGGACACAGCATCGCATCTTCAATAGGTATATAATCACAGCTGGCGAGGTCTGGATCTATGATCCCTTTGCACACAGCGAACAGGGCGAGTGGGACGGCAACGTGAATGGCTATGAGGAAGCTTTCGGCCTTCTGGTTCCCTATGCCGGTGGCGAGCCACTGCACACTCTACTGTTTCATGATATGCGCGGGTATCCGCTGCGCATTCAAATCTTCAAGTCGGTCTACGCCCGGCCACAGCTGGACCCCAAGACGGGCTTGTTGCGGTCCATCACAGGCGTCGACTGGGAGGTGGCTCTGCTGATAGCCAAGCGGCTGAACTTCACGATGCTGCTGCAGCAGCCCGACAAGAACTACTTTGGGTAAATACCAAACACATTTCGTAGCTAACTGAAATCTCTTAAGTTTTCGCTGTTCTCAACAGGGAACGCAGCGCCAATGGCAGCTACAATGGGGCCATTGGCTCCATACTGAACGACGGCCTGGACGTTTGCTTGACGGGCTTCTTTGTCAAGGACTATTTGGTGCAGGATTACATGGACTTCACAGTGGCTGTCTACGATGACCAGCTGTGCATATATGCGCCGAAGGCTCGCCGCATTCCGCAGTCCATTCTGCCCATCTTTGCGGTTGGCTACGACATCTGGTTGGGCTTCATACTGATGGCGTTTGTATGCGCCTTCATCTGGCTGCTGTTGCGCATGATCAATCTGCAGCTGCACATTGTCAGCATTCAGAATCGTCGCCTGTGGCAGCAGGCGCTGGGCATTGTGGTCGATACGTGGGTGGTTTGGGTGCGAGTGAATCTAAGCCATTTGCCGGAGAGCTATGCGGAGCGCATGTTCATTGGCTCGCTGTGCCTGGTGAGCGTCATTTTTGGCGCCATATTTGAGTCCAGCCTGTCCACCGTCTATATCCATCCGCTCTACTACAAGGACATTATAACTTTGCAGGATCTGGACGACAGCGGACTGAAAGTCGTCTACAAATACACGTCCATGGCCGACGATTTGTTCTTTAGCGAAACGTCACCGCTGTTCGCCAGTCTCAATAAGAAGCTCTTGTGGAATAGGGATCTCAACGCAGATGTCACAAATGAGGTGGCCACCGTTGGCGGTAAGGCGGGCGTCTCACGGTACTCCTCGCTGATGATGGAGTCTGTCAATTTCTTGCTCATGCGCCGCATTTGGATTGTGCCCGAGTGTCCCAAGTACTATACCATCTCCTATGTACTGCCCAGAGATGCGCCCTGGGAGGAGGCAATCAATGCCCAGCTGCTGCGGCTGCTCAACGCTGGCCTCATCCCGAAATGGATTCAAGATCAAAAGTTCCGGGTGACCGTCAGGACACGCACAGCGCTCAAAGACGAGGCCGAGTCCAGCGAGGTGCGTGTCCTGACCATCGGCGACCTGCAGCTGGCCTTCTATGTGGTCATCGTGGGCACACTGCTCGCCTCATTTGCTTTTATGGCCGAGCATGCCTTTTACAGGCATCGCCAGCATCGCACCCAAGCCACAAAGAAACTGTAGTTCAAGCCTATTCCCTAGATATTTTGCAGCAATCTTCATTTCACTTATCATATAACTAGCTAGTTGTTCCTAGTACTATTTTATGCTCTTTTTTGGAATATTAAATTACGAAATGAGTAGATTTCAGATATTAAAGCTTGCACTAAAAAGTATTCAATTTAAGATTCGCCCAATCAGTGTGATATGGAGAAAATACTCTTTGGAATAGTAGAGTATAACAGCATTTGAATAGAATATACAAGAATAGTGTAATATAATATAGAATATAGTATAAAAGATTATTGTATAGTATAATATAACACTATTGTATAGTGTATTATAGTATAACACTTTATAGTATAGTATAGTATGGTATAACACATTGAATATAGTAGTAGAGTATAACACTTTATAGTTACGTATAATCTAGTCTAGTATAACACATAATAACACAGTATAGTCTAGTATGGTATAACACTTTTTTGTATGGAATAGTGTAGTATGTGTTATACTATACTATACTATTATATGATAGTATAGTATAGTATGGTATAACACATTGAATATAGTAGTAGAGTATAACTCTTTATAGTTACGTATAATCTAGTCTAGTATAACACATAATAATACAGTATAGTCTAGTATGGTATAACACTTTTTTGTATGGTATAGTGTTGTTCGTATAACACATTAGAATATATTAGTATAGTGTAAGACATTATAGTGTGGCATAATCTAGTATCGTATAACACATTCCAGCATAGTGTAGCCCAGTATAGTATAACACATAATAGCAAGGAATAGTATGACATAATAGAGTCTAGTCTTACACACCAGCCAGTAACCTTGTATTGGAGTAAACAATTACCGCTGATGCAACATTGCCATAGCTTAGCAAACATGTTGGATAAACCCCAAATTAGATCTGCGCTGCGGGCCTTGACAATTTATCCAGTGACATATGTTGCCGACGCTGGATGCTGGCAAACGCTCAGATCAATTGTGGTTGATGTTCAAATACGTCATAATTTCGTTTAATAGCTTTTGGCTGGAAATTGTGCTCTTCATTTTGGGTGATGGTTGCAAATTTCATTTGCCAAAGGCCAGCAGCCGAAATCAACCTGCAATTGTGATCACACACACACAGACAGCTGCAACTGAATCGCTTATATAATTTAGCCATGTTAACAATGATACGCGCCAATGGCAACTGCAATTCGCTGGATACCCAGGGGCTGCACACAAATCGAATTGCCAGCGCACAAATATATATTGCACAATCCAAGGCTGCATTACAAATGCAAGTACAGTGGTCGCTCGCTGCCACGCACTTGGCTGAGCTTCTCCCTTCCCACTCGCCAGCTGAGCGCAAGTAGTTGGCCTTGTTAACTGGAGAAACTGTAAATTTCACTTAGCTGGCATTCACTGTAGTCACATTACGCACGCACACGTCGTTTGCTCTCTGTTTATTTAGCATTTTGGGCCTGCACACGAAATTACAATTAAACGGCCTCAGCGGCAGCGACAACATCTCATTTGGGCATTCAAATGTGCACTTCATCTCTCCCACTCACACACACTCGCACACACACGCACACCCAAGACAGCAAGGAAGTGACACAATTAAATATTCCAGAGTTTAGTACGTCTTGAGTGCACCACACTGGGGAGACCTTCGTGAAGGTAATTGTAACAATGATGCGACTCTTTGATACTCGCAATGTTCGACTTATTTATAGCTGTTGCAGTTGCTTATCGTTGAGTGTCTCTAACTGTGGACTATGACTCATAAGAAGCCCAAATGTTGGGGACATTTCACATGTGTCAAGTGGTAGGATTGAGAGTCAAGCTGAATCAGATATAAGCCAAGGCTGCAATGAAGTCAAACTTATATGGCAATGAAGTCAAACTCATGGCAAATGCAAATGAATGAAGATTTAGAGTTAATGAATTCTAATAAGATAAATACTATAAATAGTGTGAATCTGAAACTTGATATATGTATTTAAGAGGACAGGACAGCAACAGCAAATGGTTTCCAAGGAATATACAACTCCTTGGGCTTCCTTCTCTAGATTTTAGTTTCAGAAAACCCCAAGCCAAAGCCCTCAGGTCGCTAAAGTCTAGTTCTTGTTAGCTAAAAGCTAATGGCCTTTATATAGATGGCCATTATTGATATAGATGCATTAAATGTAATTAACAGCATTGAGTTAACAGTTGGTTAACAGAGCTCTGTTAACGTGCTGTGTGCACTAGTGAACAGTTAGAAAAACTGTTGCATATGCCCAGGCGAAAAGCTAAAATTTGGTTTGCTTTTGCGTTTTGGCAGCGGAGCTAATGAGTCCTCGGCACGCGCCACCTGAGCAAGGACTTAAAGTTGCATTTGGAGTGCTCAATTGAACAGGTCGCAGAGCTGGTCTGCCGTCGAGGAAGGCAGCAATTGAGCAGCGATTCGGGCCCAGTTGCCGGCCGAGCACAAATATTGCCGGCGACGTGACGCGCATGCTAATGAAGTTGGCTGGCATTGCTTGAAGCCCGGATTTAAATACGCCCAGCCACTTAGCCAGTCAGCAAATCAGAGAATCAGTCAGTCGAAGCATTTGGAAATGTTAATTTGATGATCTTGTTAATAGCCGATTGAAAGGCACGTGCCACAGCCACAGTCGAAGCAGTTGCCCCTCTGAGCATGAGTTAAAGCTGGCCCTAATATGTATATTGATTGTTAGCCAACTATTTGTGCGCTTTTTACTTAACGTTACTTAACGCCGGCTGTCATCATTGATGGCCCACTAAGAAGTGCCCATTACCAATGGATTTTTATGGCTAATTAATAGCTTCGGCACAGCGCCTCTTTGATCATCGTCTGCAGATGTTTTATGTATTTCAATAAATGTTTTAGCAGATGCCATAAGCAAAAGTATATGCGATGAGTTTTTAGATATTTATGCCCTACAAAGTGACTGCTGAATCAGTTTGTTATGCAGAATGTAACGCCGGGGTAGAGTAGAGACGAGTGGAACTAGATAGAGGAGATTCTATAGACTAACCAAGTACATAATTGCTAGATATAATTAGTTAATGTAACGAGTTGTCTGTTGGGCTGCCTAAGTTTTCACTCAGCTCAATCTAATGAGAGAGAGAGAGAGAGAGGGTATTAAGAATTCGATCAGCTGCTCTTCTTTCCTTTTAATATCTTTGGAATAAGCTGCTCTGCATATTGGGCATAATTTAATTATAATTTGTATTGGAATTTGGGCAACTTTTTTATTGTTATGCATGCTGCTTGACTAATAGATACCCAGTGTCTTATGCGTTTCAAAATATTTTATATTTACAATTAAAATTCACAGACAATTTTTTTCACATGTTTAAATATTGCAAATATTGCAAATTGAACTATATGAAAAGTTGCTTAAATCTTTAAACAACAGTTTCGTATTGGCCTTCAACTGAAATGGGTTTTGCGCCAGAAATTAATCATATATTTATATATAAATATATGCATAAAGTAAATATTAAATTGATTTATGAATAGCTTCGATGCATAAAGATGATTCTGCTTGTGTATGCAGTGTACATGAAATTCCAATGAAAAACAATCAGTTTTTTGTATTTGCGAATCACGTACGATGCTGAAGCGCTTAAAGTGTAATTAGCCAAAATGCAACTCTGAATATTCAATTTGTGGACAATTTGATGAACTCTGCGCACAAAATGGTTCGAATCCAATTAGCTGCCTCAATTGTTGTTGGCCACCCAATGCGGGGCAATTGTTCAGCTATTTAGAGCTCAATAGTGTACCAGATGCACACACGCTCACACACACACACACTTGCATTGGTGTGTATAAATAATTGAAATTCCGAAAGGCCTTAAAAATAAAACAAGCCTCGCGACGCGCGCACTGAACACATCAAAATTTTTTCATTTGGTTTATTTCCGAATCATAACTTTTGTTTATCTTCAGCTGGGACGAGATGTTGCTGCTGCTGTTGTTGTTGTTGTTGTTGGTGGTGGTGGTGGTGCTGTTAATGCTAATGCTGATGCTAATGCTGCTTCTGTTTAATCTTGATCTGTCCGGGCTTCCAGCAGCTCAGTGCTGCGTCGCCTCTGTCTGCGTCCACGTCCAAATTATATTCCTTACCAAAGTGAATTTCTAACGTGCGCTGGCTTTGAAAAAAAAAATACTTTTTAATAAACATATTTCTTATATAGTAATATATATTTTTATATATATGTATACGTACAATTTTATTTTTTATAATCCCGCTCGGTTGCCTATTTGAGTGCCAGTTTTTTGCGGTGTTTTCCAAAAACTTTTGATTAGATGTTTTTCAGTTTGTTCGCAGTCTCGCAGCGCGTTGCACTCGTAGCTCTACCCCCACATACACTCGCACAGACATTTATAAATGTATATATTTATAGTATACACTATTATAATGCATATATAATTTCTATTTTCAATTTTCTCTATGCAAATTCCATTTGTTAATTGTCTCGTGCGCTGCTTTCGTATGCAAATTTTCAAAGTGTCAAAAAAATTGGAAAGCATTCAATAAACAAATTGGTTTTCCCCAATTTTCTCGTTTCTATCTATTTTTCTGGTTCTTTTTTTTTTTTGGTTTTTCATTTCGTTTTGCTTTGTAGTCGGACGAGTGTATTTTGTTAGCAATATTTTGGATGCATTAAAGCAATAAATAAAGGCGTAAATACCAATTTGATTTTTTCGCATCGTCTATTGTTTTGCGGTGAGTATATACACTGAGAGCGATATATAAAAACCTATAGAAAAGATATATTTATAATATATATTATTATTTGCTTACTCCTGGTACCATTGCTTTTCCAATTTCAATTTCTCTGTCTATTTTTGAATGTTATTATAAGCAAAATACAATACTAAAAAAAGAATTTAATGCCCGATTGTGAAAAATTATGGCTATTTTATTGGGCCGGGTTAGGCCTGGGTTGGTCTGGCCTGCATTTGCGTTCGACCGCAATAGCAACAGCAATGATAATAT